GCCCTGCATAATACCATCCATCCATTTCACGGAGGGGGTGGAGCCTATTCCAGCTACCATAAGGCCAGGGGCACAGCTGTGACCTAATATAAAGCAGATGAACTACACCCACATTATAACCAGAACTAATAAAGCTCTGCAAAGGGCGTTTGCAGGTGTGATATAAGTTAGCTACCATTAACTTCCGGCCCTTTAAGTCAGGCTCAGACTTCTAAACCACCAAATACACAAAGTCACGGGTGGAACAGTCTGTGTGAAAGTCTCTTATATTGTAGCTTACCTGTAATTATGTGTTGTTAAGTCTGGAGATGAAAACTGTATTTCCGCAGCTGAAATAATCGGAAATGCCGCCACACTGCAGGAAACGGGTCCGTACGAGGGAGGAGGGGGAAGTGTGATTATATAAATAAATGATCATAAAGATATCAGCCACATTAGTGCTGCTCGGTTTATTTAGACTGTTGTACATGTGCCTTAATACACGAGTTAAACATGTTTATAGCAGGACCCGTGAGGGTCACAGCAGGAGGTGCTCCTCAGCAGAGGTGGGTGGCTCTGAAAAGAGCCGTTGGGTGGGTGCAGCAGAGCTGCAGTTTACTTGGAGCTGGTGTACTTGGTCACGGCCTTGGTGCCCTCGGACACGGCGTGCTTGGCCAGCTCACCGGGCAGCAGGAGCCGCACGGCGGTCTGGATCTCCCTGGAGGTGATGGTGGAGCGCTTGTTGTAGTGAGCCAGGCGGGAGGCCTCAGAGGCGATGCGCTCGAAGATGTCGTTGACGAACGAGTTCATGATGCTCATGGCCTTGGAGGAGATACCGGTGTCGGGGTGCACCTGCTTCAGCACCTTGTAAACGTAGATGGCGTAGCTCTCCTTCCTGGTCTTTCTCTTCTTCTTGCCGCCCTTGCCGGCGGTTTTGGTCACGGCTTTCTTGGAGCCCTTCTTGGGCGCCGACTTGGCGGGTTCAGGCATTTTGCTTCGTCTCTACTTCAGCAGAGAATGAGCCCGTCAGCGCAGAGCGGCTCTCTTTTATTTCCGCTGTATGCAAATGAGGCTGTGCAGATCCGCGCCTGTCATTGGTCGAGCTGTCGCTCCGCGTCTTTACTGGGTCGCACAACGAAGAAAAAGAGCAGAGCTCTATTGGACCTGCTGACGGGGCTGTGGGACGTTTATCGGCAGTGCGGAAGAGCAGATGCGTTGCTTCAGTGCGTGTGCAGACAAACATTTATCCATCTGTGTGAGTCACAACATCACACAAAGACCGAGACAGCCGAGGGGAGCTCCGGGAGAGGCTCGGCTGGTCATAACGGTCCTCCGAGAGCCACACAGCGGACTGCAGAGCCCAGAAACAGAGTTTATCCCCCAGGGCTGAAGATAAGGGCGGGGCATAAACAGGCAGAGTGAGATAATAAATACACAGAATATACAGTATAGACAGTTTTAAAATTAAAGTGACTGAAAGGTGAATAAAACACTGATTAAAAGTGAGTAAAGTGTCAGCAGTATGAAAAGAGTAGTTTATGTTTCTGGGTGTGGGAAATGGTCCAATGGGCTGTAGTTAAAAAGCTCTCCAGTAGCTGTGAGCTGCAGTTTGATCGTATATGAACAGATAAACCAGGGGTGGGCAAGTCCAGGCCTCGAGTGCCGGTGTCCTGCAGGTTTTAGATCGCACCCTGGGTCAGCACACCTGAATGATTAGTTCATTACCAGCCTCTGGAGAACTTCAAGAAATGCTGAGGAGTCATTCAGCCTTTAAATCAGCTGTGATGGATCATGGACACATCTAAAACCTGCAGGACACCGGCCCTTTAGCTGCCTACCCCTGGTGTAAACCATAACGACAGTGATAACTGAAATGACAGAAAGTTCTGGTAGCTCTGTGCCCGGCCTGCTTTTATGTAACAGCAGTTTAATGCTTAATGATTGGATGATGAGCAAAACGTCCGAGCAGCAGGTCAAACAGGTTACAATCATCATTTCAATTATAAATTATTTGAAGTGCACATTCAGGATGTGAGACGCTGACACTGAGCCATGGCTGTTATTGCACATGTCTGCCATGCAGGACGGTTTATTTTATATTGAACTGGAGCTTCAGTTTTTCTCCTCCTCCCCAAACTTCATTCAGTGTTCATATAAAAACACTTTCAGGGAGATCATGAGGTTTAAAGCTCGGCTCAGTGAGACTTTGTCCTCCACACTGAAACCTCAGGATGTCTCCATCCAGCTGCTTATGAACTCTGTCCTGTAACTCACGCAGCTCGGTGCTTGTTGTGTTCAATGATGTGTGCCTGCACCGCTACACTATGGTCCCCCGTGCCCCCCACTACTACATACCTGTGTACTAACACAGTACAATCGTTAATACCAACCCACACTGTTAGCGAACCGAGTCTGTGAACCGCTGCTCTGAGTGCGTGTACGTGGCTCTTAAAAGAGCCGTTGTGTTTGGTGTAAACTGGTCTCAGGTCAGCTTAAGCCCTCTCTCCGCGGATGCGGCGGGCCAGCTGGATGTCTTTGGGCATGATGGTGACCCTCTTGGCGTGGATGGCGCACAGGTTGGTGTCCTCGAACAGACCGACCAGGTAAGCCTCGCTGGCCTCCTGCAGAGCCATGACGGCGGAGCTCTGGAAGCGCAGGTCGGTCTTGAAGTCCTGAGCGATCTCCCTGACCAGGCGCTGGAAGGGCAGCTTACGGATCAGCAGCTCGGTGGATTTCTGGTAGCGGCGGATCTCCCTGAGAGCCACAGTCCCGGGCCTGTAACGGTGGGGCTTCTTCACGCCGCCGGTAGCCGGGGCGCTCTTACGGGCAGCCTTGGTGGCGAGCTGCTTCCTGGGAGCTTTTCCTCCGGTGGATTTGCGGGCAGTCTGCTTGGTCCTGGCCATCGTACAGCTTCGGGCTCTGTGTGAACAGCGAAAGAGAGAATGAAGTCTGAGCGCGAGCAGCGGCTTTATACAGGGGCTGCAGGCGCGAGCTCAGCGCTGATTGGTCCAGATCTGGTAGCGCGCGCACCGCAGCTGCTCAGCTATTGGACGAAAATATTCAAAATGAAGCGCGAGACAGAGAAGAGAACAATGTCTTTATTGTTATTCAGATGTACAGCGAGACGGCGCCGCCTGCTACTGCGCACATGCGGGGTGCACAGCTTCAGCAGCGCTTTATACAAGTATTCAAAAATATACAAGTACAAACACAAACCTGGAAGAATAAAAATACAGTGTTACATATATGTACAGTGAGGGTTACTGCACAGCACTTATAGATGTGAAGTCTACAGGTCTTTGAGATGGGGGTGGGGGGCTAATTCAAATTTAAACAACAGTAGGTAATAAACCAGTAAAACAAAGTCATCCACAGCTCCAGTGCACTCATCTCCTGTCATCAGCTCCAGAATAAACTGGAAATATTTGCAGCACTGACTGGGAAATAATTCAGGTTTCTAAGTATCATTGAATCACTGCCTAGATTATCCGATTGTATTTATTGACATAAGACTGAAACTCAAATGTTTCTAATGTTCTGACAATTCAACATGTATTTTCCCCGTCAGTGGGCTAACTGGGAGACCAGTACTTTCTACCTGAACCAGCATAGTCTCCATAATTTACTCTGCATGTGGAGACACAGGTGAGGCGTAAAGCTGCAGCCTGTGTCTCCCGGCATAGTTTCTCTCACACACACACACACACACACACACACACTATGAGGAGCTCGTAGCGGAGGCTGTGGTGGCTCTGAAAAGAGCCGTTGATGCACTCGGTGCGGGAGAAGCTTTTACTTCTTGGCCTTCTTTGAAGCGGTTTTCTTTGCGGGCTTCTTGGCGGCTTTGGGCTTTTTCGGAGCGGCCTTCTTAGCGGGGGATTTGGGCTTCTTGGCTGCCGCCTTAGGCTTCTTGGGAGCAGCCTTCTTGGGGCTCTTCTTAACCACTTTCTTCGCTGCCTTCTTGGCCGGAGATTTCTTCGGGGCGGCCACTTTCTTCACCGCGGGCTTCTTGGCTTTGGCGGGAGCCTTCTTCGCGGGCTTCGCAGCCTTCTTCTTCGCTGGTTTCGCGACTTTCGGCTCTTTCTTAGCAAGCTTGAAGGAACCGGAAGCCCCGGTACCCTTCACCTGACTGAGAACGCCTTTCTCCACCAGCTTGGCGACGGCGGTGTTGATACGTTTGTTGGCCTTGGGTACGTCCACATTTTTGGCGGTCAGGTACTTCTTTATGGCCGCCAGCGACGTGCCCTTGCGCTCCTTCGACTCTGTCACCGAGGCGACGATGAGCTTAGGGAGGCTGGGTCCGTCCTTCTTAGCCCGGGGAGCGGACTTCTTCCTGGGAGCCTTGGCCGGGGCTTTCGCCGGTGCAGCTGCGGGAGCTTCTTCTGCCATGTCTGCGCGTGAGCTTCGTACTGAGCATGTCGGAGCTGCGCGCGGGAGGCGGGACTTATCAAGCACATGAGAACCGTGGAGAGTGAAGCCAGCCCTCCGCTCTGCTGCCGCTACAATCGCGGCTCTTCTTGTGTTTTCTTCGCCGCGTTTCGGAGCTCAAACCGGCCCCAGATAAACGTTTGAAAGCCCCGTTCCGAGGCAGCGGGGAGAAAACTCTCCGGTCTCCCGTCTGATCCTGTTTTTGTCCTTCGGGACTTCTTCCGTTAATTTCGGAAGGCTTCAAACCTCTCTGACACACCGCCTCTCGGAGCAGCTCGCAGCGAACTTTCTCCACATTTCTGCTCCTAAAGTGACCCAAAGCGGTTCGGATGAAATGTGATCTCGGTGCTCCGGTCAGCGAAGACCCGTGGGGACAGAGTCCCGGTGAAACAGCGGCAGTGCCGGGCATAGTTGGGTTCTAACGGAGGCAGATTTCGGTGGCGGTAAACACACGCAGGCTGCCGGTGACCGGGCGGATATAGAGTCACAGATGATCCGCTGGGAGAGACTTCCCTGCATCCAGTCTGACTGTACACGCTGATGTGATATTATACTGTTATCTATAATATCACATCAGCTGTTTCATTCTGGTCTTCAGTGTTAGACTGGAAACTGCAGGAAACTGTTTCTGTGTTTGCAGCTGAGCCCACAGCATTTAGAGACTTTAGCACCAGGACCAGTTTATTATTTTACATTTATGATCAGACATGTGCACAAAAGAGTTTTATTATTGCACAAAATTAAATGCTTTTGCAATTTAAGAAATTCTGTGGCAGAGTAGTTAGAGGCATCATCCATGTGTAAATTAAAGTCACCTACCAAGATGATTTTATCAAAATGAATCATAACAGATGAGAGGACAGGAGATCAGAGAGTTCATAACTCTCTGATCTAAGTGTGGACGTAGCCTAAGGAACCCAGTGCGTGACAATCCACTCATCAATTTGGGGTGTGAAGCAGTCAGGCCAGAAGGGCCAGAGCCATAAACCTTGATGGTTTTGTGGATGTTCTTGTCAAAAGACAGATGGATAAAACAGTTTTGAATAAATGTCAAGACGATTTTGTTCCGTAGCCGTCAGGGTCAGGGTTGGTTTGGAAACACATGAAAGTCTCTGTGTGGTGTTTGACATGTAAAAGCTCTGATTTCCAATTAAAGAAGTACTGACCCAGGTGTCTGACCTACACCGCTTATCTAACATGACACAGCGTTCGTACAACCCGTAACGTTGCAAAAGTTACTGAAGAGGTAAAACATGTAAAGATTGTCTCTCTGCACTCATGTGCAAGCATGTTGTTCACATACAGCACAGAGAGTGCAGTGGTGCATACTAATGACATCTGTCTGTCCTGAGGGGGCACCACAGCAGACCACAGCACTGGTGAAATTTCATAAATGAGCTGATTGAGGCACACAAGGCAACTGTACGCATTAAAACCCCCATGAATAACTGCCCTCCACCTTAAACTATTGGCCAAAAAAAGAAAATAACACATTTTATTTTTATATGACAGTATTCAATATCATATTTTTTCTACTCTCTCCCAGTTTGTATTTCGTCATGTATGGCTGTGTTCTCTCTGTGACCCCTTTGTTCTCTTATCTTTCCCCTCAAACCCGATCAGATGTGGCAGAGGAGCCTCTCCTGAGCCCGGCTCTGTTGGAGGTCTCTCCCTGTTAAAATGAAAATGATTGGCTGTACGGGATTCAGACTGTTGGGTTTTTCCTCTAGTATTCAGTCTGTACTTGACTATACAGGGTGGGCCATTTATATGTTTACACCATAATAACATGGGGATGGTTGGTGATATTAAAGTCCTGTTTGTGGCACATTAGT